GGGGGGAGGGGGCAAAAATGAATAGGAATGTGGGTAGGAAGGAAAATAGAAAAGGTAATTAGTCCAGTTTTCACCTGAAGAGGCCCAGCCAAAATTATTTGAGCCGCTGTTGCGGTTTCTTTCAAACTCATTGTTGCGCGTTTTTGCTTATATGCAAATGCGAAAACGCATATTGTGATGACCCCCGTGTGTGTGTGTTTGTGTGTGTGTGTGTGTGTATTTGTGTGTATATTCTGTGTGTCTGTCTGGATATTTCAACTCGGCATCCGAGCAAGCTCCGGCGCCAAAATTATGCCAGTTGGTTCCCTGATCAAGTGCCATTCCGGGACCGCGGTACCAACCCTCTCGTAAGTCTGGGCCCCGCTTACGAGAGGGCGAAAGTTTGGGCGGGAAAACTGCTAACTCGGAAACTGGAAAAGCCAGAAAGCTGAAATTCTGAGGTTATGTTCCCCGCTCACATAGAACCCAAAGTTTTCAAATTCAGCTCACAGGTGTGTGTGGTACCCGCATATGGCCTCGAGAAGGTTCCTAGGGCCGAAATCCCTAGCTTGTGAACCAGGAGTGCTAGGAGGTTGAAATTTTCAGGTAATGCTCTCAGCACACGTACAACATAAATTTTGCCGAATTCAGGTCCCAGGCATGCGTGGTTCTCACTTATGGCCCTGCAAAATTTTTAGGCGGAAAAATGGCTAATTCGGGAAATAGGAAAGCTGGGGTCTGCAATTTTAAGGGTATGTTCCCAGCCCCCTTCGCCCCCCCCCCCTCACTCCTGCCCCCGCTCCCCGCAAAAGTTAAAGTTTTCAAATTCAGCTCCCAAATGCGTGTGGTTCTCGTGTACGGGCCCATTAAATTTTCTGGCAGAGAAATTGTTAACTCAAAAACCAGAGAAATTGGAAAGCTGAAATTTTAATGGAATGTTCCCTGTCCAAGTACTGCGTAGACAATTAACTTCCCGAACTTTGAGGACCAGTATGCCACAAAATCCTAGCTACTAAGTTTCCGAGCGAACTCATTACAGCATGAAATATAATACAGCAAAAACGCATGATCGCAAGGACCCGCCCGACGCGTCGCTAGTGATTTTTTTTTTGTTTTATCAGGCCAAGAAATACCTCAACTACATGCAAGGCGAAAGAAATAGCACCGCAGCCACCGAGACAGCAAGCCAACTGCACACTGCAGTAATTACAGAATCTCATTCACAGCTGCAAGTTTTTTTACCTGTAAAAAATTGCGTTTTTTTTAAGCGACTTCGAGCGAAACAATTGGCAAGAACCAGGAAGAGGCAGCGTGAGGATTTTCCAATGATAACATGCGAAGAAGAATGTGAGTTTTTGCTCGTTTTGCAAAAATTTCGGAGTCAATTTCTAAAACCAACTTTGAGCTTCTCTATGGCCAATTTCCCAAAGCCCAACTTCAGATCTAATCTGTGTTACAGCTTGACGAAGCAATTTGCAGACTTTAAACTGATAGGATGTTCAGTGGCATTATAGTTGGTAACTCGTTGCCCCCTTTTGTATTAACAATATCTAACTGGAAAAACGCGAGATCATCCTAACTCTTTTTTGGGCATGCAGTAGCGCATGTATCTAGCCACTTGGGAATGTCTCTAGCCACTTTGAGAGAAAGCAAGCTATCTGTCTGTATTCTGGATTAGTGCCATTCCGACAAAAAATGTGGAAAAAAAGGGAGAATTTTCACTAATTTTTTTCATACAGGATATTTTTTGCACCTTTCAAAAAAGCAAATTAGCGACTTTTTTTTGTCGAGTACTTTAATAAAAATTTGAACAAATACAAAAGAAATGAAAGATACAACTTACGACTTGTTTTCTCGTTTTTTCACTGCAGAGTACCTTTATTCATTAAGATAACTGGTAATCTTTCCACGCAGAAAGCGGCCGTAGCTGCATCTAAAGGTGTCAAGTGTGCTAGTAAATGTAGCATTCATTGCTCTGATTATTCTCCTTGTTCTCTTAATGAAGAAAATGCTGAATATATATAACACTTTCTTTGCCGTTTGCACCGCTTTTCTGTTCACCTAGTAGCAGTCATCCCGTACTTATAATCGCTGCCACTTTCGGAGGGAAATATGTGAGGATTAGTCGTCCTGGAGTTTATAAGATTACTGGATCCAGAATGTAGAAATGCCAGAAGGCACAATACTATGTCACGATGCAGCATCCATAACGCATTACAAACTGCCTGATACTTCTAACTGCGCTCTAAAAATGAAAAAATATTTAACTGCTTCCAGACTAAAGTACAAAACACGCATTTTACAGAGGAAATTGACGTTTGCTTCCCTACACAGTCCAGCGCATGAAAAGAATGCTCCCATTTAAAGAACTCAATAAAATATAAGAATCTCTATAAACAAAGATTTTAAATGATCACTTTGCAGTGAGTGTTTGCAAAAACCAAGGCCGACGTCATTACATGACTGGGTAATTTTTGGAATTCATTGCCTATTATCAAGTCTGAACATCATGCATATCTGTGATTAAAAATGTGGAGTTTTCTGTCGACGGGACATCATTTTTGAGAAATACGCACAAATTAAAAAGAATCAAGGTCTTCATCTTCGCATATTCGGTAGATTTGATACATCAGCTGTTCTTTGAATTACTGCTCATATCCAAAAATTACGAAGGAAATATTCATACAGAAAGTCGTAAAAGAGATAAATGTGCAGATTTGTATAATTCAAGAGCTCTAACCGATAAGAAGAAAAGCATTTTTCAAGAATTTGCTGCAGTTTAAAATTTAGTTTTAAACTGAATATTGCCAACACGGTATTTTTGATTATTTTTGCAAAGAACACCAAATCTAGAGCCTCCTAACAAAGCTGTGTCCTAAACACAAAAAGCTTTTCTGCTAGAAATTCTTTTGTTGAGTTACCTGCTTCACATACTACACAACATGCCCATTGGTCAAGGATATCATTGATTTTTAATGCTTTATGTTTTCAGGCACAAGAAGAAAAGAGGCGTAAGTTGCTCAAACGTCATTTTGTGAAGGAGTTATTTTGTCGTGTAAATAAGCACTGCTAATTATCTAACACGGTTACTCTACGATTTGCATCACATGTAATGTTTAAATGTGTGCATCACATATAAACCCTGGGTGCAAAAGCAAACAAAAAAAGCTATGCTGGTGATATTTATCAGTGTAATGCTAAATTGCCATGCACTACTACTGCCACAGAAATTGGATGAAGAGTAGTTTTTTTAGAGAAACTGAAAAAAAAAATCACTCTGAGCCATATAAATTAATTAAATGTGCAAGAAAAGCAGCAATTTTGTTTGATAAGGAAAAGCAGAAAATTGGATACTAATAAGAAACCTACATAGCGATAGACTAGGCTCGCCGGTGCTATCATGTGTTTTCCCGCTGAATTTGATGAAGCGGAATGAATAGTTTCTGGTGACCGGTCATTCGTTGAAAATGATCTAGGTGTACTAATTCCCGAGTTAGCAATTTTCCCATCAAAACTTTCACAGTGCTGCATGTAAAAACCATGAGTGCTTATGGACTGCATTTGAAACTTTTAAGTCGCACACGGACAAGGAACATCGTCTTTAAATTTTAGCTTTCCAGTTTTTCTGGTTCCCGAGTCAGCAATTTCCAGCTGAAACTTTTAAGTGGCCTTAATTTAGGGGAATTATATTGGTGAATTTTTTAAATTATATCTGGTTTTTTTATCACAAAAACTACTAAAAATTATAATGCGGCAATAGAAATAATGAATTCATTCCCCAATTTTTGAACGTAAAATTGTTGATTTTGAAAGCCAGTGAAAAAAATCAAAACAGAAAATTTACCGACAAAGTGCTGCTATCACTTTTAGCTCTCGGCTGGAAACTGTTGATTGGGAAACCGATTTATCTAGTGATAGTTATAAAATTTACTTATCCTTCGTGACGCGCCTGAACTGGAATACCACGGCATAAATTAAGCCCTTTCTTCGCAAGCAACTACAACAATCGCTTTGGTCAAAAGCGTTTCCTTTAATGCTTTTGTGGGAAACAAGTCTTGAGTTTTAATAAAAGGGGTGAATCTGAGATCCAATTTAAACTATTTGTTTTATCATTCAGGGTCAAAAATTCGGGGAGAAGGCGCCGATTTTCAGAGTGCGTCATATGCTTCGGAGGGAACCTCAAAAGAAAAGAACGTACATCCGGGACGAAGCGAAAGAAATTGAGCTGGACTTGGAAACAGGTGCATGGATTCATTTACATTCGATGTCCGATCATTCACTTTATTTATCAATTGTTTAAAATTATTAGTATGTCGAGAGATTACCGAATGATTCATTTATTCCTGATGCCTAGCAAAATTAAAGCTGGCGTAGATCGACTTTTCCTGACTAGACTTTGCCAGACGGATATTTTTATTGATTAAAATGTGGGTGATGTCACAGGCTTGGTCTGCACGAACGTTAGAACTGATCAGAGCGGTATTGATAAAAAATTTGGAGGAAAAGCTTACTCGAATTTTTAGACACTTCTGCTCACCCGGTTATCGAGAAATCGATGGAGAATAGCTTGGAATGGGCAAAATCGATCTGTCGCAATGGCTTACGACCATTATTAAGAGAATTCACGACTGTCCGAAAATACATACCAAAGGACATAACAACTGATTATTTTGACCAAAATGCTACCAAAAATCGGTTTGTTTTTCCTGCGTTCTTGACAGCTGATGAAGAGGATTGATGACCGTTGAACAACTGCTAACAACCATAGCTTGACATATGGGTGTTAAGGCTATTACTAAAAACGGAGAAATAGGATACTGTAATAGAGCGGAGAATGTTCAAAACAGCAAGTAGGTGCAAAAATACGAAGACACTTTGTCAGATGAATACCATGTTATAATCAAGGAAATGAAAACCGCGTAACGAAGCGTTCTGACTGCTTTTTTGATCGCATCCGGGCTAACCGTTGGTATTCAAATTGTGCAAGGCCAGTATCATATAAGCGGGAGTCTTCCATATAAAAGGAACGAGAAAATGATTACTGAAAGAGATAGTGCTGTGAGTAATCAAACTTTCATGAATAAAAAAGAGCTAAGTAGTGTGGGGAAAAGAAAAAATATAAATAGCTGCACTGGCCGGGTGACTGCATCTTCATCATATTGGCCAGGACCAGAGCAAGTTGTGTGACAGGATTTTTTTGTTTTTGATGCGCCGAATAGGCCAAGTAATTATCATAACAGATGCCTTCTGAAGCACTGTTACAAGCGCAGGCTGTTTGCTCAGAATTAAATATAGCAAAGCTGCGCGACAGGCCCAGCCGGTGAGTTGCTTCGTCACCTCCATTAAAAATATTGTTAGTTTACAGAATTGCTCTGCATACTCAGTTCAGGTATACAGATGTAATGTGTATCGATAGTACACGCGTGGTCCTGCAGGGACGATCCAAAAAAAATAATTACATCCACGCTAACTGGGTGCGACTACCATCATCCAGGCGATACATTTGTACGCAGGGACCGCTCGATGAAACCGTCGAGGACTTTTGGCTCATGATTTTTAAAGTAATTTTTTGATCTTCTATAATTTCTCAGTTAAATTTAATGCACTGATACGAAGCATTGGAATATTTTTCGCTCATATTCTGATGTCGCCCCGCGTTGTATGTTTTCGAAAATCTAACCTTCTTGTCTTTTCTTCTGGTTAATCGTGTAATCTGGCTGTTTAGGATTTATAATCATTGGCGACACGCACTGGGCGGGCCCGTGCGATCATGCGTTTTTGCAGTGTTTCGTGCTGTAATAAGAT